GACACATGAGCTGGATATCCAATGAAACACAAAATATTGGGAACACACATCGTGTACATCCCTTATATTTGGATGCATACACCCTATTTCAAAACATGAATAGTGACAAAGGATCCCCCATACATGTACCGCAGAATTTTGGAATAGGAAAAGAGCAGATGTGTATTTCAATCGAATCGCGACGTTTCCTTTTGATCTTTCCATGGTTCACTGGATTCCAATTCCTTTTTTGTTTATCCTGTTTTTTGTCGGATTGACAGGGCGCGCACGTATAGCTGACAGTGACTAGAGTAGAATATTGTCGCAGCTTAGATACTGTATCGAATTCTTAGATGTCGAAGATGACGAAAGCTGTGTGCCTCGCTTTCAGTTATATCCGTGCAATATAAGCACTAGATCTTATTTTGTGAATGGATATTAGATGAAAATAGGTTACCCGGATCTTGCCGTCGTATTTTTGATTCAGTTTGCTACCCACGCACCCTGCTTAACGTAGAAACTCTTTATCATGTTATTGAGAGGATTCAACTCGGCGATTTCATGAAGCCGAGTTGAATTTTTGGTCAGCTTCAATTTAACTCTGCCAGTAGTTGGTCACTACGCATTATGTGACCTTTCGGGCAAGTAAAACAGAAACAGTATGTCAAATGTATATTTTTTTATTCAAATGTTACTACAGTTACCTGGATATTAATTCAACATAAGGCTACACATTGTACCCATTGCGTTGACTAGAATATGATGAAGTCCTGAAAATAAAACATCCTCTGTAAAATTGTATCTTCACATGAGTAGTTTTACTTACTTCTGAGTTAGTTTCGTACATGCATTTCGTCATAGAATATAGCTTATCATCCAAATTTGGTGCGCCTGAAAGACATTACCTATGGTTATGCGAGGGAGAATGTTATAATTTGTATCAAAGGCAATTTCAGTTTTCAACTATACGAGTACGTAGCTCTAAAATAATTAAACTCAACGTGCGGCAACAGACAACCAAACATGGACTGCTGTTGAGTGCTTTTTGTTAACTCATCAGCATAGTCTAGGCTTGGTCTCTGCGACAACCAAGAATCAGAACGTTTCTGGGGTGGTGAGTCCTTTGTCGATCCCGAATGAGGCTGTACATTTTTTGGAGCTACTTGTCGGTTATGTTGAATCAGAATTAATGACTAAAGAATAGGATAAAATAATGTTTTATAAGGCATACGAAATTAATCGATTTGTTAATTATTTTACCTGCATTTTTGTCGAAACAATCTTGGAGAATCTTAGGTCCCTTTTCCTTTATTTTGGGTGGACACATTTCATTGACCATGTCCATATCGATGGATCCACTGTCAGTAATCTTGTATGAAAGATGAGTTGGATTAAAAATTGTGGATTGATTCAAATTCATATGTCTAAATAAGTCGTAAAACGGTAGTTGAGAACTACATTAAATGAGCTGAATAAGATTTGAGGTCTTGAAGTTTGTACAATAGCAATTATGATTAATTTGGAAGTATAGCAATACAATATTAATATTTGTTAAAATAGTTGATACTCACTACAGTTGAAGTCCAAAGACAAGAGATATATTTCTAAAACAGAGGATAATAAGTCAGTGGGAGTTATAAAAGAAAGTATATCAATAATATAATTTACATTTCTAATTTTCCAAATTTTTAAAATTTCCGAGATCTTTAGAGTTTTAACAGTTTTCAAGCATTTCAAATCTCTTGAAACATGCAAAATTAGCAAAAATTTTGGAATTTTCAATATTTTCATTTTTTACAAAGTTTTCAAAATATTCAAAGTTTTCAAAACTTCCGGGATTTTAAAAGTCTTCAGATTTTAGATTTTCACAAACGTTTGTAGATGTACGAGTATGTTTTCAACATTTTGAGTATTTTTTAATTTTGAAAATTTTAAATGTTTTGAAAATTTTGAAAAATCTGAAAACTTCCGTTGAGAACTGTCACAGCGTGACTGCAATGCAAAGTTAGATCTCCACTCGAAGATCACTCAGGAATGCATTATCATTCGTTCGACATCCAGGGGTTGATCAACCCCCATTTAAAAATTTTATCAGTTTTGGACAGTTTTTTTTTAAGCGTATGTAACAGGAACGGAGTCAGCTTGCTTTAGGCCCAAAATTTTTGTGTGATTCTATTTTTGAAATACAATTTTAGAATTTGAAAATTTAGGGTTTTCTACATAAAAAAGGTACTCTTATTGAATGTAGATAAATTGTGCCATTTTTCAATAAAATCAAACTAAAGAATTTGTCACATGATTGGAAATGTACTGCGAATTTATATGAATTGTTGAATAATTAACCATGGCAACGAAAAAACTAATTTAATAATTGGTAAATATTACATAAATACATATTTCTGTTGCAACATAGCTAACATTTAGGCAAAAACAAAAGAAATAATTTTTTTCTACGAACGAATTTGAAATTTATTTGAAAAAGAAGACATACAGTTGGATATACTTAGAACTAGCTTTACTTTACTAGCTTGATTTTAATCTAGTAATGTTACACTGCTAACGATGTCAGCTTAACGTCAAAATAAGTTATAAAAAATCAAAACAACTTTTGGTTGCAGTCATGGCTAACTATGTATAATCAACAATTCATTTAAATTCGCAGTGCATTTCCTATCATGTGACAAATTTTTTAGTTTGATTTTATTCAAAAATAGCACGATTTATCGATATTTAATAAGAGTACATTTTTTATGTGGAAAACCCTAAATTTTCAAATTCTAAAATTGAATTTCAAAAATAGAATCAGACAAAAATGTTGAGGCTAAAATAACCTGAGTTCGTCCTTGTTACATACGCTTCCAAACAAAACTGTCTAAAATTGTTAATATTTTTAAAACCAGCATAAAAAAACTAGGCTAGAGTACCAAATTTTATGTATTTATCTCAACACGTTTCGGAAATATTTAAGGAAAAACCATCTTCATGGGAGCCCCTTTAAAAGACCGTAGCGCCCTTAGGGGACGTTTATCGACCTATGTTTATATAAACTTTTTTTCCTATTTTAAGCTCTGGAAACCGCTAGTAGGATATTGCACACTTTTTCCGGGACACCCTGTATAGTTGTCGGTTCTCAACATTGTGAGAATCTTTAATTGCGTCTTGAAAGTGCGTTATTATTCATTTTACATCCAAAGGTTGATCATTCCCAGAACAGCATTTGTTCCTCAAAGTTCAACTATAAATGTCGGCCAAAAGGCTCAACTGCAATATAAAGTACGTATCCTTCACAGCCTGAAGAATAGCTATGAGCAGATCATTTCTTACAATCAGAAAAATAATGTAACAGTTCACCTTCATTGTCGCATCATCTGGAAATTTGCCGCCCGACATGTCCGCAACTTTTGATTCATCCATACTACTCCTCACTATACAGGTGTCATGGAGCATTTTCATCATATCCTTTAACTTCCCGCTGTAGTCCTATAATTACAGAACACATTGAACATAGCTTCTTAAATATACATTTTCTTAAGCAAGTTTTGTTTCGCTCAAATATTTTCGCATTCTACTAAATAATGGTGAAGTAAAGTTTAATAAACAATAGACATGAATCCTGGAGAATGATCTTTTGTTTCTGTTTTTAACTAATATAAGCATTTTTCAACAAATTATTGACCAGGCATACCAGAAAGAGCTTCTATAAACTGTATCAAAGAGAATATTTGCCAATTTGGACTCCGGCAAAATATAGCAATAGAATCTTGACTCACTGAGGCTCTAGGACTAGATCAAAAATAAAAAAGAAAACTTACATCAGTTGACATAATTGCATAAGCACAGTGGCTAGCAGCAAGTAGGAATACAACGTACGCGTGCAACATGATGAACTACAGCTGTTCAGTGATACTTGTTTCCCATATATATAGTTCTATAGATGGAATAAAAACGAATTATTTGTCATAAGGAAAGCACAAATCATCTACTAATAGGATTATGTATTTACGTTTATTATTGACGAAGTACGTTTAATTGTTTATACCAATTATATCAGATTTCTCAACGAAGCGCATAGTCAACTTATTGCTGTTCACTGAGTGTTTTTGTGGTATACCAGTCGTGGTACATCGATATTTAGGTTCTGCCCTGGGCAGTGCTTCAATTAAAAAATAACCATGGCTAATATATAGACCACAGCAGAAATAGAAGATTTCTTGCTTCTGACATAAGGTAAAAAATATGAAATCCTGCGGTTAATAATGCAGAGCAAGGTTGCGAGTAAATAGGGTTCAGGACTAAGGCCCATATCGTCAGTCGTCCCTACAATTGTAGGGCGCCTTTATGGCCTCCTTGATTGTCATAGTTTTCTACTTCTCCGTGTCAGCGCTCTATTTTGAGGTTATGTCACAAACATCAATTTGCATCAAATTGTGCTTGGTTTTGAGTTATATCATGTTTTATCAGCCTGAAATTTCCTACAATTTAAAAGGAAAACAAATCTTCACAATAGGAGAGCGCTGACGCTGACACGGGACAAGCGTAATCTAGAAATTTTTTAAGGAGAGTAAGGAGTATGACAACCAAGGAGGCCATAAACGCGCCCTACAATATTGTAGGGTCTACTGACGATATGGGCCTAAGACGAATCTCGCGGCGTAGAAATCCATAGAGGTGGACAGGATCCACTTTTATAGAGTTATTCGACATCTGCTGATGATATGACAGCAGCAGAAAAAGATAGAAGACGGACACCAGTCTCATTGACTAATTTTTACTTTCCACCCGGCTAGTAAGGAAGTACCTATTGTAAACATGGAGAATTTTGGAAATGAGTTGGTATATTTCATTTTGATAAAATTTTCACACAAGGTTACTATGAGGACAGGAACGAAATAGCTTTGGGTTTTGAAAATCGGCCGCTACCGGCAAAACGGAGTAATCAAGATTATCAAAACTTTGTTCCTTGACTTTTCAAAAGATCCTGATTATTTCCAGAAACAAATTTGTAGGAGTTAAAAGTTTGAGGTTGGGCATTATAGGGTCTGGGGTAGGGTATGTTATGACCTTTTAACGTTAGTATATACTAAGTGACATATAAATCCGAACACCCAGTTTAAATGGATTTATTTTAATAAAATTTTGTATAAGTACTTAATGAAGCATAATAAGTAAATGATAAAAATTTCAAAATGATTGCACTGCTTTAAAGCCCTTTGACCTTTTATAATGTGTATCTCATTCCAGGCAACCACCAACTCCTCTCGAAGTGCTTCTATAGTCTGAGGAGGACGTTGCGAATTGAGCAATCTCCTACCCATCATATCCCACACGTGCTCAATTGGGGATAAGTCGGGAGATCTTGGTGGCCATGGTAACAATGTGACATCATTATGTTGAACAACACGTGGTCGGGCATTATCTTGTTGGAAAGTTGGATCTGCCAGGGTGTCAAGATAGGGTAAAAAATTGGGTTCTAGAACTTCGTGGATATAACGCTGCGCGTACATACCTCTGATGAAGATTAAAGGTGACCTGGAACCATAAGCTATAGCACCCCAAACCATAACTCCAACAGTGTGATGAACATGTCTTTCAACAAAAAACTGTGGATTCCTCCTTTCACCACGACGCCCTCTAACCCTGGCACGACCATCGTGCATGCCTAAACAAAATCGAGACTCGTCATTAAAGACAATACTGCTCCATTCCTGATCCCAGAGTGACCGTTGTCTGCACCACTCAAGGCGATTACGTCGGTGTTCTCGAGTTAAAGGGTTGACCCAGTGTGGCCGGTATGAAAACAAGCCAAAACTTCTCATTCTTCGGTAAACACTTCGCATGCCAATAGGTCTTCCGTGTTCTGCAAACCATTCATTTGCAATGGACCTGGTGGTGGAGAAACCGTCCCTTAAGGCCAATAATCTTGGGCGGCGATCTTCACGGTCTGTTGTTCTACGGCGGCGTCCAGTGCCCCTTGCTCTTTGCGTACGGCCTTCTGGAAGCCATGCCTGACAACACCTAACCACAGTGTCTACACTTCTTTGCACTCTAACTGCAATTGCCCGAAAAGAAAGTCCAGCTTCCCGAAGTCCCTCTATACGGCCCCTATCAAACTCACTAAGTTGACGAAATCGTACAGGTCTCCATACTCTAGGCATCGTAACCGATCGTAAAGGATGTCAAGAACCAAAATCCGCCAACGTTGATTCTTTACTGCGACTGAAATATTCATTTTAGCGTTAGTGAATTAAAAAAAAAGCAGTATAAAAACCGGAATGTCCAACTGATAAGGCTGAAAATTTGTTCACTTGTTATTTACAGTAAGATAAATACATTCACCAACTTTTATTAAAATAAAACCATTTAAACTGGGTGTTCGGATTTATATGTCACTTAGTATATTTATACGCTTCCAATCCCAGTAACTCTGCACCAGTTAGGTATATTTAACGAGTCATAGATTTATCTAAAGATTTGTCTTTAAGACCTAAAATGGTAGAGAAATATTTTCAACAGACGTACCTTTGGATATACGTCCATGCCAGTCCGGTTTATGGATGTAATTTTTCTTGATGAACGACCAAAAATGAATTTTTGTGAAGTGTGTACCTGCCTCCAAAACTTTTTAAAGAGCAGGGGATAGCAAATTTTCTCATATCCTAAAAATCTCCAAAACTGTACACAAAATTTCAGTATGCAAATTTTTATTGTATTATCCTGTTGGACAAACGCGATTTAGTTATTTTTCTCGACGCCATTTTTCTTATAATAGCGTAGTGTGATCTTCATCGGCATTCACATCCATTTGAGCGTATAATGTGTACGATGTTGTAAGCACAATGCCCATTCAGGTAAGGAAATCCTCAGCAGGAGACACAGGCGTTATTTCATGATATACGAGAAAACACATAAAAACAACAATAATACAGGCATTGGCCCATCCATTGACGATTTTTCAGTCTACGGTTCTTTTGTGTATCAGGAAGTCACCTGCCCCATGTAATCCTTCTAATCTACAACGACACAGTGGCACAGCATATCTAATAGAACACATCGGCACAACTGTCGACGATAAGCAACCGCCATATTCATTCAATAGGACAACTAACATAAGTTCGGGGCTACATGTCGCCTCCTCCTCGTCAAGCCTCTTATTTTTGTAGACTTTTCGCATACAACATTTATAGGCTTTATAACCAAGATCCTTAATGACTTGAAAATTCTGCATCCAAACCAGTTTAAAATCAAATATAAATAACGGTTTAGGAGGAGTGGCCATTCACAAGATTACGTGTCTCATCGATCCTTTTCTAACCTCCTATCTAGAACGTTGCATAATGCCAAACATGCTTATGAACGAAAACTCGTTACCTCAAAAAATAAGAAGAAGCTGTTTCGGTATCTAAGAACAAACCTGAATTCCAAAGTTTCATCACCTCAGATCCGCGACGCTGACGGTCATCTCCACATGGATGCCACCGAATCTGCCAACTTACTGGCAGAGTCCTTTAGTGATGACTTCGTCGATGAGCCTAATGGAGACCTTCTACCGACCACTATCTGCCATAGGTGTCCCAACAGCCTTTGCGAAGATGAGTTCCTGCCTGAAGATGTATTAATGCACCTGCGAAATCTGAAGACCTCTTCTTCCCCTGGTAAAGATGGGATAACGGCTGCTGTACTTAAAAACTGCGCTTCAGCACTGGCCCTACCATTACGCTTGATATTCACATCGTCTGTTAGATCTCATACCCTACCCACATGCTGGCTTAGTGCTTCTGTTACCCCTGTATTCAAAAAGGGCGACAAATCCTCCGCTAAAAATTATCGACCAATAAGTCTCGTTCCTATCGCCGCCAAAATAGCTGAAAGAATCATATTAGATGAGCTCCTGTCATTTGCTTTCGAAAATGACCTTATCCCTAAGAATCAGCATGGATTTCTAACTGGTCGATCAATAATGACCAACCTTCTCCACTCTCTTAACGATTGGACTCAGTATCTGGACACAAAGACTCCTGTTGATATAATCTACTTAGATTTTTCTAGGGATTTCGATCGCGTACCACAAGGCTTCTGTTTAAGTTGGAATGTATGGGAATAAGAGGCGAGTTGTTACTGTGGATTAAGGCTTTTCTCACCGGGAGGACTTTCTCTGTACGCGTCAGTGATAGCCAGTCTCACCTTCATCATGTAGCAAGTGGAGTTCCTCAAGGCTCTGTCTTGGGGCCAGTGCTGTTCCTTCTGTATACAAGTGACCTGCCCGCATTGATTTCCTCCACATGTTCAGCTTATGCCGACGACACCAAGATTTACAATACTGTCGTAAATTCTGCTATGCTTCAACGAGATCTTGATATTGTTTGTCAATGGTCAGTCAGTTGGCTTTTACCCTTAAATCTAACTAAGTGTTGTGTCCTTCACCTCGGGAAGACAAGTCCGCGATGCAGTTTCCAGCCACAACTGATCTGGGCGTTGTAGTCAACGATCGTCTTTCCTGGTCAGAACATATTCACCACGTTACATCAAAAGCCAAGAAACTTCTATACATGCTGGAGAGGTCTTTCAAAGGATCCGATGTCAACACTTTCGCCTACATTTACAAGGCATTCGTGAGGCCAATTCTTGAAATCGCTGGCCCGGTATGGGACACTGTGCTTCTGCGCGATAGAAATCTCGTCGAATCAGTACAGCGTCGGGCTACTCGTATCCCTTTTCGAGCACGAATACCAAGCTATGAAGGTCGCCTCGAATTATTCAACCTGTCCTCATTCTCTGAGCGAAAACTTCGTGGCGATCTTATAGTTACGTTCAGGATACTTCATGGTTTGATGGGCACCAACCTCATGCATCTATACCGTCTGTCGCGCAGCAATCTACGCGGACACAGCTTCAAACTGCATAAGGAGCCATTTAAAACAACAGTCCGACAGTGGTTTCTTCCCAAGCGCATATTCAACACCTGGAATAGTTTACCTGAAAGTGTCTTTGGTGCTACTTCAGTTAATAGCTTCAAA